TATTTTTTTTTTTTTTTTTTTTTTTTTGGGGGGGGGGGGGGAAGGGGGTTTGAAAATTCTAAATACATGCTTAGAACACCCCACACATGAAATAGTCCAAACCATCAAATCCAACTCAACCCAACCCAACCCAACCCAACCCAACTCAACCCAACCCAACCTTTCACCGCACCACCATCAAGGTTCTAAATATCGGCCGGTACGTGTCGTACCAGCCGGTTCGTACCGAAAAATGGTAGGGCCGAGTCGGATACTCACCGGTATATCGGCGAGACTAAATTTCACGTCTGTAGCGGCCGATTCCCGATACGTAAGCGAACTGTTGTCCGATACATGCCGATACGGCTGGAAAACGAGCAAAGCATGGCGTCTTGTGTATGTATGAGTGTGGCTACTGAGCAAAGCAAAGCACGGTATCCTTGACCTGCAAAAACAATTGAGAAAAGCAAAGCAAATCACTTGGAGGAAAAGCAAAGCAAAGCACCTGGAGGAAAAGAAAAAATAAAGCAAAAGAACCTGCAAAAGAAAAAATAATGGACCAAAGTACCTACAAAAATAAAGCAGAAGGACCAAACCTCTGAAGAAAAACTCAAACTCACGGACTCACGGAATACATACACAGACTCACGGACAATAATACATACACAGACTCACGGACGGACACCATAAATGTGTTACAAACCTTTGAAGAAAAACTCAATCGGACCAAACCCAACTCCTTAATCAAACCCAAATCCATCTTCCAGGGGCATCGATCTTGTAAAGTGTTGCAGCCTGCAGGGAGAAGCATCGAATCGAACCCAAATCCATCACCGATTTCAAGCATCTTCGTTGAAGGTTTGTTCTCTCACTCATGCTCTGTTTGTTCTCTCACCATAATATGATGCTCTATTTTTTTTGTTTTGGGTCAAGAAAGTCATAGTTTTGCTTTTTAAGTTGTATTTGGTTCGGTTTGTTTATAATTTTTTTTTCTGTGGTTATTTTTTTAAATACACATAATTTTTTGTATATATTATTGAGGTTAAATAGAATTCAAGAGCAATTTTTTACATAATTTTAAATGCACATAAGTTCAGAAGGTGAATAGAACTCATAATTTTACAATTCAAGAGCAGGTTTGTTCTCCCATAATTTTATATATATATATATATATATATTTTTATATAGAATATAATTTTTCTTTACACAAAACTGTTTTTGCATAAACCTGGAACTCTTGGAACAAGACTTCAATCCTATATAAACTATCCTTCTTAGAGAGACACATTCAAGCAAAACCCTTTGATGAAATAGATTAGAAACTAAACCTTTTTTAAAGAGGTTTAATTATTAAGTAAAAATGTTTAATATTTTAGATTTTTTATTTTTATTTTAAATACATTATTATTACTAACTAAATTAGAATTACAATATTTGTTAATTGAAAATTGTTATTGTAGATAATTGAAAGTTATAATGGCGCACGGAGGTGGGGTTTGTCTATAATTTTTTTTTCTGTGGTTATTTTTTTAAATGCACATAATTTTATATATATATTATTGAGGTTCAATAGAATTCAGGGGCAATTTTTACATAATTTTAAATGCACATAAGTTCAGAAGGTGAATAGAACTCATAATTTTACAACTCAGGAGCAGGTTTGTTCTCCCTTTTATATATATATATATATATATATATTATCAGCATAGAATATAATTTTTTATATATAAAAATATATTTTATATATATTTTAAATGCACATATGCTCAATATATATATTTTTTATATATATTATTTAAAGAAATTTAATCTGTCAGATTTTTTATTTCAGAATTTTTTTTTATTATTTTAAATTTTTTAATCTTTCAAATCTTTTTATTTCAGATTATTTTTATATCAGATTTTTTTTATAGAGGTTTAATCTGTCAAATTTTTTTAAAGAGGTTTAATTGTTAAGTAAAAATGTTTAATATTTTAGATTTTTTATTTTTATTTTAAATGCATTATTATTACTAACTAAATTCGAATTACAATATTTATTAATTGAAAACTGTTATTATAGATAATTGAAAGTTATAATGGCGCACGAAGGTGGTTCTAGTGGAAAACTTCCAAGTGATAATATTGGTTGGAAATTTGGAATTCCACTAGAAAATAATAGGCATAAAATTAGGTGCAAATTTTGTGGAAAAGAGCTAAATGGTGGTATAACTAGGTTGAAGCAACATTTGGCCCATATGAAAGGTCAAGTCGCATCTTGTGCTAATGTCAGTGGTGAAGTTCGAACACTAATGATGGATCATTTGAATAATTATAAGGGCAAAAAGCTTGACAAAAGGAAGATGAATGAGGAATTGACAGAACAAATTAGAGCCAGTCAGTGTGATGATGATGAAAATGATAAGGACGACTTAGAAATGGTTATGGCCCGACAAAATAGGGCTAGTGATATTGAGGTTGCACCACCTCCTGGTTTTGCTCGGCGAAGTCATAGTGTTTGTGAGACTAGTATAGGTAGGAAATGGATTGATACATCCTCTCCAGAAGTTCAATTATTAGACATAGATGTGGATCTTCATAGGACCAAAGGCAACAAACAATCCAAACTCTCCTTTAGATTCTTGAAAGAAGCAAAAGAAAAAATTAGAAAGAGCAGTTAGCCAGTTTGTATTGTTCACTCCAGTGCCTACTAATGTTGTTAATTCTAAATGGCTAGAACCAATGTTGCATACTATAAGAGAGGTTGGAAGAGAAACAAAGCTACCTACTTCTTATGAAGTAAGCCTCTAACTTGAAGTTTGAAAAAACTCTATCTATGTTTAAAAACAAATAAATTATTAAGATGCTTGTTAATAGTTTTTGTTTGTTATTTATTATTAAACAGGTAACTGAAGTGTATTTACCAATGGAGTATGAAGCTTTACAAAATTGGATAAAATCTCATAAATCTAGTTGGGCTGAGAGAGGTGTTACAATTATGTGTGATGGATGGTCTGGGCCCACAAGAAAGCACATTGTTAATTTTCTTGTATATAGCAATCGTGGAATAATTTTTTAAAAGTCTGTGGATGTAACTGATGTACCTAGTAGGACAGCTGATTATTACTTGGGCCTCATGGACAAGGTAGTGGATGAAATTGGAGAAGAATATGTTGTGCAAATCGTAACTGATAACGAAGCTACGATAAAGGTTGTTGGTTACAAACTCATGCAAAAAAAGGAGAATCTGTATTGGACAGGATGTGCTGCTCATTGTATTGATCTTATGTTAGAGGATATTGGGAAGAAAAAAAGTGTAGCAAAGGTGTTGGATTGTGCAAAAGTAATCACACGATTTATTTATTTACAACTCCAATTGGGTCGTTGATTTCATGAAGAGATTCACAGGAGATAGAGAGTTGTTACGTCCTGTCATCACACGCTTTGCCACCAATTTCATTACTTTGGAAAGCATTGTTAAACATAAGACTACTTTACAGGATATGTTTCATTCTCAAGAGTGAAAGCACAGCAAATGGTCCAAAAAGAATGATGCAAAAGAAGCGAAAAAAATTATACAAAGTAAAGATTTTTGGACCAAGGCAGCAGACGTATTAAAAGTTCAAGAACCACTTCTAAAGGTGCTTAGACTTGTAGATGGGGATGAAAAGCCCACAATGGGTTTTATATATGAAGCCATGGATAGAGCAAAGTTGGCCATCAAACAAAATTGTCAGCGATCTTTTCTTCGCTCGAGCGAGGGTTTTGTGTGTCTGGTCGCTAAAGCGACAAAGTGTTCGCTCGAGCGAGCCTGTCGGGATTAAATACGCAGCAGCGGTTTTTAAAACGTTTTTTCACATTCTTTTGATCCTAAAACCCTAGTTCCGAGTTCTCTCTCCCTCTACTCACTTTCTCTCTTAGGTTTCATCATCTTTTAGTGAGTTTCTACCCCAGATCCTTTATTAAAAAGATAGTGTGAGTCGAGGGCTTCCATTTAATCTGAACGTTTGGTGTTTTGGAGCACTTTGGAATTTGGGTCTTCATCTCCGTCTTCTCCATTCGGGTTATTTTCTTCGAGGTAGGGATTTCCTACTCCATTCTATAAGTTTTGTTCTAAGTTTTGGTATTTTTATATGTTGGGGATACTTTGGTAATTTTGGGAAAAACCCTAGTTGTATTAATAAATTAATTTGTATAATTAATTTAAGGAAATTGGGGAATTTGGTTAAATTCATGAAATTGAGGAATTCATTGATTAAATGGTGTGGTGGGATAATTTAAACCACTCGCCTAGTGAATTGTTGTTATATTTATTTCCAGTCTAGAAATAATTGTTTTGGGCTATCGGTGGAGGATAGTCGTGTTTGTTGTAGACATTGCGTGTGGATTAGGAATAACTGAAACTAATCACATTGGTTAAGTCATTGATTTAGACTGTTGAATTAATACAGAAAATACATGTATTGATTGTGTGTTGTACATGACAAGTGTTTAATACATTGTATATGTATTTTTGTTTGGGAGGAGATAGGGGATGGACTCCATTAGCATCACTATTATGTGTGCTTATTATATTGAAGTGTTTTTACATGTTGTTGATACAGCACTAAAATGTGTATCAAACGGGAAGTATGAAGTGTTTTGATATGGGCCTGAGTCTCATTTGTTTGTTGATATTGGAAGTAATGTGGATATAACATATATAGTTCACTGTTGTAAGTTTGGCCAGGTTCTGAGCCTTATTGATAATAAAGAAAAGTGAAACGTGTCATAGACATTAGTGTCATGAAACTGTATAATGATGTAATTGATTATCTTGGTTAACCATCTATTGAATGCCATAGCTTTATTCATTGCTTATATTTGGTTTAGTATTTTTCTACTGGGCTGTGGCTCACCCTTTATGGGAACATCATTTTCAGGTTCAGGTGATAAGCTACCTCCAAGGACTTAGCTTGGAAGGAATTGGAGTTGAAGACTCTGTTTAGTTTAGTTGTTATTTATTTATTTGATATTACATGTAAACATTCAAGCCTAGGGCTTTATTTGTATTTGAGTTAGAACTCATATTTTGTGTCCAAGTGTTGGCTTGGAAAGATGTTAGCCCGTAAGGCATTTAATTTGATGTTACATGTAATGTTTTTCAATAAGAATACTCTGATGAATAGAATAACGGTTGGATTTCTTTTATTAATGCATGTCAATGTTATGTATATTATGGGTTTATTTTGGGGGCGTGACAGGAAAGCATTGTTAAACATAAGACTGCTTTACAGGATATGTTTCATTCTCCAGAGTGGAAGCACAGCAAATGGTCCAAAAAGGATGATGCAAAAGAAGCGAAACAAATTATACAAAGTAAAGATTTTTGGACCAATGCGGCAGATGTATTAAAAGTTCAAGAACCACTTCTAAAGGTACTTAGACTTGTAGATGGGGATGAAAAGCCCACAATGGGTTTTATATATGAAGCCATGGATAGAGCAAAGTTGGCCATCAAACAAAATTGTCGCTATTATATAGATTATTGGAAGATTATTGATAATCGATGGGCTTTCCAACTACACACGGACTTGCATGCTGCTGGTAAGTAATTTTTAATTTATTTAAATTATAAATTATGTGTTCTTTGTCTCACTTTTATTATTATTTTATATTTGAACGTAGGTTATTTTTTAAATCCCATATTCCAGTATGGGGAGCACCTTTCTAATCATCGAGAAGTGATGAGTGGAGTTAGAAATGTGATTTCGAGACTTCTATTTAATAGGGTTAAGTTGATATTAGTTAATATTAGTTAAGTTGATAACTTATTATTTGACTTGTGAATTGTGTTTGTAAAACTGCTTATTGCCTTTTGTTCATTGCAGATCTCTTTATTTTATAATAAAGAAGATTCTTTTGGTGCTGTGTTAGCACAAAGAGCAGTGAAAGCAACAAATCCTGGCAATTATTATATACTCAATGAACTATTAATTATTTTAATTATATATTATTGTTACATTGTCAACACTTCTATATCAAATTATAACATAATCCCTAATATTTGATTGATTTGTATATAGCTGAATGGTGGATCCATTATGGTACATCGGCTCCGGCACTCCAAAAAGTGGTTGTGAGAGTATTGAGCCAAACCACGTCTTCTTCTAATTGTGAGCACAATTGGAGTACATTTAGCCTGATACATACAAAGACAAGGAATCGGTTGAAGTATAAAAAATTAAATAAACTTGTTTATGTGTATTACAATATGAGGCTAAAGGTCAGACATGCAACACGAAAAAGCCAAGATGATAGAGAGGAATCTTTTAACCCCATCAATCTTGACTACATATTTGAAGAAGATGATCTATTAACTCCATGGCTTCAAGAGAGAGAGCATGCAGTCTTGGATGATGAAGATAACTCAGGTTGGTTGATTGTTGATGATGATGATGATGATGATGAGGGAGATCATGCAACTAGTAGCCAAGTACCTCAACACCATCAAAGAGCAAGGTCTACTGGAAGTGGCTCTTTTGAGTCCACCTAGTGGTAGTGGAGATGATAGTGATGGCAGTCGTCCTCCAACAGGTGGTGGTAGCGGTGGACAATGGGAGTCTGCAGGTTCTGCACATGGTTGTAGACGCAGTACTCATCATATTGATCATGATTGGAACAGGGATTCTACACAACAACGACGACATTCTATTTCCACTCCTGATGTAGAAGCATCAATTGGGCGTTCACGACATATTGATGATATTTATGGTCATCGTGACCTTAGAAATCAATTTGGACATCTCAGAGTTAGACAAGAAGATGGAAGGGGAACTCAACATTGACAACCAATACGCCAAGTACCATATCCTTATTACCCTCCTCCAAGTCAACCACCACCACACATCTATCAACGACCTTATATAGAAAATTGGAACTACTCTCAACAACCTCATCAATATCTATATATAGAGGGTTTCAATTATGGTACAGGGGGGCTGGCAATGACACAACAACAATCAAGTAGCAGTGGCAGCAACAACACTACTTATGATCAATGCATTTTCAATAACTACTACCATGAATATCAATATGGAGAAATAGGCTAACCAAGTCATAGTGACGATCAAAGTGATGTGAGATATGGAGATTCTTCTATACCACCACGTAATTCTTTTTATTACTAAGTTTTAGAGTTGTTGATTTGTAGTAGATTGTTTGTATACGATTATGACTGAAACAAATGATTTATTTTCATGTCCCTCTTTCTCTTATTAATTTGTTGTGCATGTGGAAGTATTTCCTTGTTGAAAATAAGTAAAAAAATATTTCCACATCAATTTTATATTAAAAGTTTAACATATATGCCAAATAAAAGGTTGAGACTAAAATAAATACATATCATTTAGTTGAAAATGAGTCAAGAAAGTGCCTATACATATCAAAATTTTGATTAAAATGTGATAAATTAAGGCTAAAAGAGTCAAAAAATGCATAAAATTGAGTTTTAGATGGATTGCTAATGGCTAAAAGAGTCAAAAAATGCATAAAATTGAGTTTTAGATGGATTGCTAATGATTTTTGAAATTTCACAGCCGCGACGCCCGATACCCGGTACGTACCGGTCGATACTACCGATACCGATACTCTGCGATCGATACCGTTACGTTACCTAATACCGTGATTTAGAACTATGACCACCATTGCCATTGTCGGCCACCCTCATCATTACCTACCACCACATGCACCACCGTCGCTTACAACCCAACCTTTATAAAAATGCATGGAAACATAGTGCCGAATATTTTCATTTTGTATGGATGTATAATACTAGAGAGTTGATATGTAGTGATGGTTGGAATGTGTTGATCTACTGTTGTCTGCTGCTGTTTTGGGTCTATTGTACATATGTAGTGGTGGTGGGGTAGTGTTAACTTGGGTGAAGCTCTGCATGTTTGTGTTGAATTTCTGAAGTAAGAATGCTGGTGTGTGTGCTGAAGCTCTGCCTCTTTGTTCTCAACTCTAGTGCTGAAGCTAATACCCAAGCTCTGCCTCTTTGTGTTGAAGCTCTAATGTTATCTATTCTACAGTTTTGCTCTCAACTTTAGTGTTAGTTGGGTTGTGTTAGCTCGGGTGAAGCTCTGCACCTCTGTGTTGAAGCTCTGAAGTATGTTTGCTGATGGGTATAGCTTTGCATCTGATGTGTGTTTGCTGAAGTGTGTCTACTGACTATGTTGCTTAGCTCTTTTTCCTACCTCTTTTTGTGTTTTCTGTTTTTTTTCCTTGCTAGTGGACTGCAGTTTTGTTTGTTGGTTTGTTGGTTTCTCACCAACTAGCTATTGGAGCTTTGTGCTAGCTCCAAGCTCCTATTTATTGATGCATTATTTCATACCCCGTATGCGTCCATCAATAAAGAGTTCTTTTGCAGATCAAAAAAAAAAAAAACACTAGAGAGTTATTTTTGTTCAGAACTGTAATATGAATTAAAAAAAATTAAATGTATGGAAACACAGAGCTAACCATGCACATTTTGTTCAGGTATGAAATATAAAATAAATGCCAAACAAGTGAAATTTGTTCGATATTGAATTTTTGGATGAAGTTTGTAAAATCAGTTGCAAAAAATGAAAAAACTGAATAGAAAACATATCTTATTTATCATAAATAACTTCGAAATGTCTTCTTCATTGTACATTATTTATTTTAATATGAAATAAAATGCAAAAATGATGAGTTTGTGTATGAAGATGTAAGGTGAAGAAAGTGAAAGAGTAAGAGACTAGAGCAAAGATAAGGAAAGATTGGTAGTGATTATGAGATGAGGGGTCCAAAATAATATGATTTTCACTTTTTACATTAATAAGTACTTTTGGTCATTTTAAATTGAGATATAATAATAATAATTTTTTTTTCCTATTAATATGGGGCATCCGACCAAACTTTTTGTGGTAGAAATATAGGAAGAAGCACCAATAAATCACATTTTCATATCTTAGTAACCAATAGGTCCTCCAAATAATCTAATGAACCTAATAGTCTCATTTGTGTGGAAATGACAAGAAAATCCTGTCGTTTACACGCATGGATGCTAATTAATGGGTAATTTTATTTACACACCACAAACTAATTCATTACACACCATTAAAATATCGAAAATTCTATTTTCACAAATCAAATGTTCTTTGTGTACATCATTTCTTAAAACACACACTTAATGAATTTGAAATCTCATTTGTTACTTAATACACAACTTATTCTACCAAAAATGCCCTCATCTCCTTCCTTCTTCACACCACCATTACCACCGATTTCTGCCATCTTCGGCTGTATTCTTCCTCTAGCATCGTAGTCCAATCTCTACCGCCAACGACAGATAACAGTCCCAACCGCAGAGAGGGAGATAACTTAGGCAACGCGAACCCGAAAGAGAAATTTAATTTACAGTTGTCGATAGAGATTGAAGAACACTGTTTGTTTTTGTTCCAATTGCCAAGACTTGATTGCATATTCCAACTTCAAAATCACAGAGCAATTATAGGCCATTGAAGTGTTGCAGAGTAAGCATTATCGTATCTAATATAGAAATTTAATATAAAATGTGATTTTCTCAACAACACCCTTTAATATTCCAATAACTTCAAGAGTCCATAAGTTTATTTTCTCTCAAATCTAGGTTATCGATTCTTTTTACTTTTTGACACCAATTTTCACCTAATGCAGAGATGTTATGATTGCTTCGGTCGCTTTCCAATTAATGTTGAATATGATTCTTTATCTAACAATTATTGCATTTATTGTAGTAATTCTTGCTTCCTCTTTAACCAAATTAGATGCTGAATGCATTAAAACCGATGGAACCAGCCAAATTGTTACGCCCCAAAATAAAAAGACATTTTACTTCATTATAATCTTGCTAACATGCAGAACACAACAACAATATGATTATGCAATATCGTTTCCAACACATGCCTCAGTACATTCTTTTAGTTCTACAACATGAATTTTATCCATAATGAACAAAACTAAATTATTACAAGTTTATGCCTTAAAGGTTACAAATTTCCAGGGCCTTACCCAGTTACAGCAAATGAGTCACAACTCAATACAAAGAAGCTCGTTGCTTAAATTACAACAGATAACCAAGGAAAATAATAAATACGAGCCTCAAGCTCCAAGATCCTCTAAAGTCATCACCTTGCCAGAGGCACACCAGTTCACCTGAAAATGGTTTTCCTCGTAGGGTGAGCATACAGCCCAGTAGAAATAAACTTCATAACATGTATGAAGCTTAACAACATCATAAGATGAATACACGTGAAATGTCATGATAAAACATACATTTTCTTTATTTGAAACAATGTAAGGTGAGATTTCCAAAACATCTTCCAAATCAATAATATTCTTTCAAAACAATCAAGTGGTAAATATAATGAATAAATCTCCAGGGCTAGTGTTCATAATTGTAACTATATAAGTCACTATGTCATTTTTACATGTACTCACCAGAAGGCTCAGTACCTACCGCGCGGGTTTTAGGTCTCACACCATGGACACACGAGTCAATTTAATTCTGTTTTAACACTCCCTTATAGCTTTACCATTTTATTTACCATTTCAATAATACAATATATGCATCTTAAAACTATAACACATTTTTCGAAACATGAAATCTCCAATTACAAGTCCATGATATGCACAATGCGATGTATGATTTGTAAGTATTTCCATTTCGCTAATCCACGTGAAGTTTCTACAACAATCAATACAACCCTCCACCGATTGCCAAAAATAATTATCTCTGATTTAAAGACAACAATAATAATAATATTCCAAAATCAAAACCAAATTGGAATCCCAAAGATTTATACAAAATAAATGGAGGGTTTGTGTAGACTTTACCAGCCTCAACAAATCCTGCCCCAAAGACAGCTTTCCTTTGCCCAAGATTGACCAGCTCATAGACGCTACTTCAGGGCATGAAAGGATGAGTTTTCTGGATGCATACAGGGGGTACCACCAGATTGCCATGTATCCTCCAGACGAGGAGAAAACCACGTTCATCACCCCTAAAGGCCTGTACTGTTACAAGGTAATGCCTTTTGGGTTAAAAAACGCAGGAGCAACTTACCAAAGGTTAGTAACAAAAATGTTCCAGCACCTGATTGGCAAAACAGTAGAAGTCTACATCGATGACATGGTCGTGAAGACCAAGGAATCTAAGGGTCATCTTGCCGACCTAAAAGAGGTCTTTCATATACTCAAAACATACCGGCTCCGACTCAACGCATCAAAGTGCGCGTTTGGAGTTGGATCAGGTAAGTTTTTAGGGTATCTGGTAACGAGAAAGGGCATTGAGGCCAGCCCAGACCAAATCAAGGCCATCCTAGAGCTGCAGAGCCCGATGTCGGCAAAACAAGTTCAGATGCTTACTGGAAGGGCCGCAGCCCTAAACAGGTTCATCAGCAGAAGCTCAAATAAATGCAGGCCCTTCTTCAACTTGGTGAAAAAAGCCACAGACTTTCTGTGGACAGAAGAATGCGAAGTCGCTTTAACCGACCTAAAGAAGTACTTGACCACAACTCCGGTTCTTTCCAATCCAGAACCAGGGGAAGAACTGTTTTTGTACTTGGCAGTTTCAGAACACGCAGTAAGTGCAGTACTAATCCGAGAAGAAAAAGGGGAGCAAAAGGCTATTTATTATGTTAGTAAAACCTTGGCCGATGCAGAAACAAGGTATCTACCACTGGAGAAATTAATGCTAGCCTTAGTAATGGCTTCAAAGAAGTTGAACCATTACTTTCAGGCACACAAGATTGTGGTCCTAACAGAGCACCCATTGAAGTCC